GTGCTTATCTTGCACAGACACACACACACAGACGCGCCACACACAAATAATACTCCCATTTGCAGTTAAATATGCACGTGCTACACTAAATGTTAAAGCAGATTTATTGGCTTTTCTGTGACATTTTGCTCCCATTAAGGAATCAAGTTGGATGGCTTCTTGGAGAAGCAAAGACTGGGATAGAAAATGGGTCAAATGACCTCCTGCCATGTGTACATTTCTATAGACTCCGGCTGTACATCTGCCCATAGCAAAACACTCACTCTTCTTTAACTCTTCTCCAGCACTTACCCCAACGTATACTCTGGGGTCCCCAAGCCCTGGCTCTAGCCAACCTGTGCCTAATACTTTCCGGAATTAGGTAAGCAGGATGCTTCCCTTCCAGGGAGAGAGTGTGCATTCCATTCCAACAATCCAACTGTTGAATCTCCATTTGTAGGTGGGATGCATGGGAATCGTTTGGTTTGGTTTGAATACTTTTAAGAATGATGACGTTTGAGTTCAAGATCCTCGTCCAAATCTTTAAGGCCACCCATGGCCTTGTCCCCTCCTACCTCTCTGATCTGCTGACTCCCTACCACCTGCCCACTACCTCCGTTCAGCGGGCTCCAGGCTGCTCCATGTCTCCAGCCCGACCCGCATCGGTGGCCGGGCTTTCAGCCTCTCTGCCCCCACTCTGGAAGTCCATCCCATGGTCCCTTCGCCTCGCTTCCTCCCTCGCCTCCTTCAAGGCCGGTCTCAAGACCCTTCTCTTCGACCGTGCCTTTGGTCTCCCTCCCACCTCTCTGTTTTCCCTCACCTCTACACCAACCCCTCCCCTATGCTCGGGCCCCGACACCTGACTGTTCAGCGCTTTGGGACGTCCTCCCGACGTGAAAGGCGCTCTATAAATGTCATCTTGATGTTGTTGTTGTTGATGACGGGTTTCCGCATGTGTCAGACACCCACCCGGCTGACCAAAGTTAAAAAAAATAACCTGGCGAAAGATGTGAAAGAGGAAGTGGAGTTAAATGAAGCATCGAGGAGACAGAGAAAGAGGAAGCAATCTAGGAATAGAACAGAAGGTCATAGATTAGCAGTGAACATGAACTCACGAGTTTGAAAACTCAAACAGCAATCTCTTCCTAATGGTCACCAGACTACGGCATTACCTCACCCCTCACGCTGCTGAAACTCTGGTCCACGCCTTTGTCACCTCAAGGCTGGACTATGGGAACTCTCTCCTCGCCGGCCTTCCCGCCACCTCCCTCCACAAGCTGCAGGTCATTCAGAACTCTGCAGCTCGTGTACTGTCCCGCACCAGACACCGCGACCACATCACTCCCACCCTCGCTCTCGCTCACCTCCACTGGCTCCCCATCCCCCAGAGGATTGAATTCAAGATCCTCATCCTCACCTACAAGGCCATTCACGGCCTTGCTCCCTCCTACCTCTCCAACCTACTATCCCCCTACCTACCTGCCCGTACCCTCCGTTCCTCTGGCTCTGGTCTGCTCCACATCCCCGCCGCAACCGCCCTACCATCGGTGGCCGGGCCTTCAGCCTCTCAGCCCCGAGGCTCTGGAACTCCATCCCCCAGTGCCTTCGCCTTGCTTCCTCCCTTTCCTCCCCTTACCCTGACCATTTCCCCCCTCCTTGCTCCCTCCCTTCCCTCCCCTCACCCTGACCATTTCCCCCCTCCTCGCTCCCTCCCTTCCCTCCCTCACCCTGACCATTTCCCCCCTCCTCGCTCCCTCCCTTCCCTCCCCTCACCCTGACCATTTCCCCCCTGCTCGGGTCATGACCCAACTGTGCAGCGCCTTGGGACGTCCTCCTGACGTGAAAGGCGCTTTATAAATGGAATCTTGTTGTTGTTGTTGTCACGTACTCTAGTGTCATAGAAATGGCAGAGAGCAAGAGTTGGAACAAAAACACTCACTCAAGATACACTCATCTAAAGGTGAATCTATGCGGCAGAATATATTTTACACATCTCCAGGAGTTTTTTTTTTAAGCTGCTGACAAGTCTACTTTCATCTCCAACTTGCTGCTACTTGTTTTCACTCTTTCGATTGAATACGAGACAGGCTTTGAGGCCGTGTGTCAGACGCAGACATTGAATGCTTGGTTCAGGCTCATGTATCAGCAAACTGCGTGTACTGGAAAGCTTTGTCAGCACTTCAGTCACGAGAAGTGCACCCTTAAGTTTACAAAGAGGAATTATGGTCAAATCTACACTGCATACGATCACATTGTGTCTGTTGGTTAAAGGTTAAAGCAAATGACCACATGGTGGTGGAAAAGGTGAACTGAGAATAAAAGTTCCATAAAAAGATGATAACAATAATAATAATCCTCGCATTTGATATAGCGCTTTTCACGCTTTCTAGACGTCTCAAAGCTCTTCACAGAATAGACTAAAAAGTGAATTGACCGTATATTTGTGGGCGAAACGCGGTAGCCAATTGCGCACAGCAGCGTCCCATAAACAGTCGGGGATTGAAACTGATCAATTTATTATTGTTTTGTTTTTGGAGGGATTATCATAAGGCGTGTGGAGTAAGGAAACTTACAAGGTTTCGCCCTGTTGAGAATCGAACCCATGATACACAGCACAGAAACAATCTTAAACTATGCAATGCTTCTTAGCAAGAATTTACATTTAATAATGATAATTCTGCATTTGATATAGCACCTTATTACGTCGTCAAAAGTCTCAAAGCGCTTCACAGAATATATTGCAAAGTGTAGTGACTGTACTGACCACAGCACCTTTCACATAAACGAAATATTTCAGGATGAGTAATTAGAAATGAAAGTTGTTAATGGAGACAAACACAGCAGCTGATCTGTACCAGTGATGACCCTCAGACCACAGTGAGATGAAAAGCCAATTAATTAGAATTCCTGGGCTAAAGCTGAAGGTGGAAAGAATATAAGAGAAGGAAACCAGGTTGTGCGGTGGAAGGGGAGGGGGGGGGGGATTCCTTCACCAGAAATTACGAGGCAGATGGCAAGATGGAAACTAAACTAATGTCTCATTCGAATAATAAAGAAACAATACTGTACACTTGAGTTGGAATTAATGTTTCAGGAAAGTAAAGTGCCAGTGACAGCAATCGCACATACTGTACAAGATTATGAACGTACAGAGCTTCTTTGGTAGACTGTAAAACATCTGCCACCAGGTGGATGAATCCTATCACTGCAAAAGGTACTGCACACACAAACGCAAACCTGCCAGCACCGTTCGCTGTCAGGATTTGAGATTTGTGGTCGCTGCTTCTGCTGTCAATGCCGTTTGAAAATGAGTCACAAGTTATTTGAAGATACAGTAATCAATCGTTTTGTTATGTTAAACGTTCGCCATGAAATATTCGGTTTATACATGAACTATAATATTTGATCTTTTTGAGATTTTAGATTACTTGTGTTCAATTGTACTCTGGCAGGACTGGCATTAATACCGATCAGAGTATTGTTCTTTTAGCAATCATGGATTGCGTTTCTGATCATCTCAGAGAGGCTGAAAACATCAGAATAGATTTCATTTAATGTACCATATAAAAGAACAGTGTCTGATTCCCTGTGATGGAAGACAGCAACTCAGTAGCTCCTCACACACATAACTACCCTCCACCCCACCTGAAATGAATCTGTTCACTAATATGCCATAACATCACACAGCAGTCTCTTCAGATTCCCTGAACAACAGGCAAACAAGGTACTGGATTCTATTACAAGAGGAGTCATATATAAATCAAAAAGCATTATCCTGTTGCCATTTTAAAGCCTGGCTTAGACTCCACAGCTGCATTTTGTGCAGTATTTTACACAGAGACCACACAAAAGTAATATTGTGNTTTTTTTTGAGGAACCAAGAGGGTCTCGGAGCGCTTTACAGTGGCCGAACTGTCAGGCTCTGCCAAGAAAGTATGGCGAGATCTTATAAGAGTAGATCCAAACAAAGTTTTACACTTAAAAGGGTTNAAAAAAATCGGAATAAACCAGGGCCTATAGTTTAAATTCAGAAATACCTGTGGATTATTTGGATGTGCAAGGAGGATGCCACCCTCGTCACTATCATCAAAGCCAACGTCTGCGAAGCTTCAGTGGGGCTGTGACTTTTTGGTGTATAAAACACTCGGAAATAAAAGGCTATTCTGTGAGCCAGAAGCCAAAGCCACCACTCACCTTTACTGACATCAGCATTGAGAACAATATCGCTCGTCTCCTGATGACACTCCAGCGCAGGCCATAGCTGCCATCCTTCGGATGAAAGCTATGAACTGCAAATGATGACGTGCAAAGTTTCCTTCTTATTGTTACGGACGCTGTGCTCATTCACTCAAAAGTCTATTAAGTAGAAGTAGGATCATTACTGAATCGGTCAGATTCTCCTGAATAAAAGGGAAGTGGTTTCAGAAATTGTTCATTCTGAAAGAAAAAGCTTGGCAAATTTGATGGTATCAGAACATTGCTATATTTACTAATGTATGTCATCTGGAGTCAAAGGCAAATAAGAGTCAAATACAGTCAAAAAGCCCAGAAAGAATTCAATATATCAGGTCTCAAGACAACAGATTTACTAAAGATTAGCTAGTGAGAGTTCTTTTTGGCCATTTAAGCATCATTCAATGTTTAAAATTTTTTCATGTATTTCTTGACATCTAAACTCTATAGGATTTTGCAAGCGGGCGAGTCTGTCGAAGGAGAGGTGTGTATACTCTATACCAGACAAATGGAAACCGTAAATTTCTGAAACTCTTAATAATTTGGAGACTCTTAAGCAGAGTAATGGGTTTCCACTTGTGTCAGATTTGCATCTGACACTTTTTTCTTGATTTATGGACCTCACATATCTCTCAGTTGAACGCTAAATCAACTCGTCATTTTTAAGCGTTGCCTATACTATTTTCAGCACCATGTCAAGAGACTTTCAACTACGACTCATCAACAATTAGATATCAGGAAGGGAGGTAGAGGCAATAGATTAAGGAATAGTTTACTTGTTTATTTACCTGGAGAATCAGCCCTGGAAATGCTATTACTATGCAGATCCTCTGTATCATTAGAGTGTAGGTCTGTGTAGGATACAGTTGAACTCAGGTTACCAGGCTCCTCTGACTGTGTTGTCCAGCTGCCTTCTGAAGTAAGAGGGCCTCTTGATCCTACAAGTGATACAAAAGGTATGTGCCATCAGAAGAAAGACAGTGGATAACATAATAACAAGCAATGTAGTTCAAGTGTTGTTAAACTCAGCCAAAAGGGCGTGAAACCGCTGCAACAAACTGGACGCTAGTCAATGCCGACATGATACCACTGACAGCAGTGTTTAAAAAGAATATCATTCATTGTGGGTTGAAATTACATCACCTTGAAAATACCAACAAGCCAGACAGACTGATGAGTCTCCTCCTGTCTGCGATTGTTAGTGTGCCAGTAAATTATCCACAGATTTACTTTTTTCTTTTGGTATTAAAAATTACACTATGTGTATGTGTTCAGTCAGCACATAATAAAATGCCCATCAGATGCCAACCTGCAACCTGCAATCATCAATACAACAAATATGAAAGACAGTAGACAATGTTAGTGTAGGATAGTGACTTTTTAAACTAGCAAGTTTATGTAGAATCAACGACTATGTTGTTCTGCCGCCACTTGTTTTGATAACATATTAGCTAAGGGATAAATTTTAATCAGGTTTCGGGTGGGATTGTCACAAGATACATCTCTGATGGATGGTAAACGTAATCATGTCTTCTAACGCTAAACATTTATATTGCATATTAAACATAAATAATTCAGGATATATGCTGAAAATCAGCATTGCAACACAAATAGGGAGGTGGTTGAATTTAGGCTTTCAATGTTTTCAATTGGTCAATAAGAAGCAAATTCTCCCACAGAACTGTGGTGATTATCTTTTTCTGTGGTAACATTGACGCATTTGGGAAATTGTCAGATTAGGAAGCAGTCAAAACATTTCAAAAGAGACACAAGAAAAATGCATCCAACAACGAAAGATCAACATCAAGCGTGTTCATTCATGTAAATTGTGAAACAGAACACTGCAAAATTTACAGCCTGGTGATTACTTGTGAGACTCAGTAACCAATCAGTAACCAAATGAACTGGTAACGTATACAATGGTTCCTCCTCAATTACATTTCAACTTTCAGAGTCTTGCAGAGAGCGTGACAGGATATGCACATAGGCTGATAACTGGCAAATTAAGTTGAAACAGGTAAATGCAAGGTAAGGCAACTACCAACCCGCCCGTTCCCTCCGCTCAGTGAGCTCTGGTCTACGCTACATCCCCTGACCCACCTGCCCCATCATTGGCGGGAGAGGCTTCAGCCTCTCTGTCCCCAACCACTGGAACTCCATTCCCCAGTCACTCTGCCTCGCCCCCTCCTTAGCCTCCTTCAAGTCCCGCCTCAAGACCGTTCTCTTCGACCATGCCATTGGCCACCCCCCTTCCCCTCCCCTCCCTTTTCCGCCCCCTGACCCCAGCTCAGGTCTGAAATGCTGTCCACTGTCCAGCACCTTGGGACGTCCTCCCGACGTGAAAGGCGCTATATACATGTCATCTTGTTGTCGTCGTTGTTGCAGAAAGTAAAAATAAAGGAGCTCAATGTTGTGATGGGAAGGCAGTAGGGTGTCTATTCTGGTGGGATGAGATCTAGTGGGTCGAAGTGCCTTCTTCAACCAACTCTCCTGTTCAGATAATTAGGCTAAAGTCAGGATTCTTCAACTTCCTAAAGTTTCAGATGAAGGTGATCCTTTGGTCATTTGACCTCATTGACAGCATCACATGGTTTCTTAAATGAGCTCCGGTTACTGGCTGCAACCTCCCAAGTTCCTGGTAATTTTGTACCATGCTTTAATTACCAGCCGTGTAAAGAAATACAGTCAGACCTCATTATAACGGGGTGGTTTGGGTCCATAAAAATGGCTGCTGCTCTTCTCAGTTCCTGCACCCTGAGAATACATGCTACGCGCAGGAAGCATCACTGATGCTATTCCTTATGCTACTTACAGAAGCCAGGCCTATTTTATATTATACAAATAGCACCATCAAAACTTAAAATGTTCTCGCTCAGCATTAAAACATCAGTACATGTCAGGGAGCATCAGGTAATTCAGGATTCATTTTAGTGAGCAAACAGGGAAAAGCCTGAGATAACTGCCCCATTACGAAGTTTACACAGGTATTTTCAGAGCTATAATAGAGAATTGAATGGTTGATCATGGTCAGTAAAGGATTGCTGACAGCTGCTTCGCCCTAGTCTCATGAGTTGAATCAAACAATATCTTTTCCACGCAGCTTAACACTAACCTGCTGAGTAATGGAGTTTGCAGGCACTGACCTGTCAGTACCACAGATCAGCTTACAACAGGCTCCACCTCATTCTTGACCCACACAAGTTGGATCAGGCAGAGCTGTTTCTAAGGGAAAAAAAGACCAAATTCCATCTAGTTTGCCTTCCACCATCCTGGCAGTCACTTCACATATCGTGTCCCAAACTATACACTGTATCCCCAGATATTATTTTCTAGCAGGAATCTATCTAATTTATTCTTGAAAACAAACAACACTTTCTGCTTCGACCGTCTCCCTAGGGATCCTGTTCCATAAGTTCACTACTCGCTCACTGAAGTCGTCTCTCCGCAGGTTTGTTCTGAACGCTCCACATCAACCTGGTGTAAACACCATATACACGATTGGATATGCAGTCTTATTTTTTTGTCAGTTTGGTTTCAGACCAGAACATATCACATCACTTGATAGTAGCCATCACATTGAATTTCTGAATGTAAAATTATTCATTTATATTGTTAATGGATAAGTACAATAAGCATGTGGTGTAAATTTAGTCTTTCATGCTCTTGGTCCATGCTTTCTAATGTTACTCACACCACACCACTCACAGCTAAGTAAGCAAACATGTCCTACTTTGTAAGGGATATTCTTTAAACTCTCCCATTTATCACAAAGCTCTCTGAAATCATTTTAGTATAACAGTTCAGATGAGTTCTCTTCAGTAATACATGCACCACATTGAGTGATTGTTTACTGATTGTGTCATTGACTGCCCTTAGCAATGACAGACAGGTTGGCAATCTTAGGCTATTTTCAGGCCTATTTGTTCCAGACAATGGTATTTTCATGCCAGTTTGTTTGAAAATATCAAAAATTTGATCAGCAAGATGTTCAGTCCAGATACACTGACTTGGAGGCTCACCTCTAGGGCGTCCTTACCATTCTCCTCACTAAAACCAGTTCTATTTCTATTACACAACTTGCATTTACACAGGGCCCCTCACGCAGGTTAACATTCAAGAGTGGTCGACAGCAGCGGAGCATGACGCCGAGCCGGGGTGATCAGGGGGAGGTCGAAGAGGAAGGTCTTCAGGCGCGACCTAAAGATGGGGAGTGGGGGCAAGGCAGAGGGCAAGAGATTTCCAGAGTTTTAAAAAAGTATTAAAAAGTATCCAGTGTTAAAAAATATAGAAGCTACATGGGAAAATTTAGGCAGCAAAGGTTTGTTTTCAGAATGGAATCTCCTCCAAACGAGCTAAATGTCACCTCTCAACACGAGGCACTTGAATGTTATTCGACCAGGAGAATTTAATATGGCGTTTCCTTGGTCACCATCCCACTTCTTCCAGAAATATCTTAATAATAATAATCCTTGCATTTGATATACCGCCTGATCACAGTCGAGATATCTCAAAGCACTTCACAGAAAATGAATTGACTGCATATTTTGTGGGTGAAACCGGCAGCCAATTGCACACAACGGTGTCCCACAAATAGTCATGGATTGAGTGACCAAATGATTATTATTACTTTTTGGAAGGGATTATTACCCCCAGAAAAGCAATCCACCAATGACTAACAACCGGGTTCCTACTTACAGAGGCGTGTGGAGTAAGGAAACATGCCCAACGTTTTGCCCTGCCGAGAATCAAACCTAGGTCCTCTCGCTTGCGAGGCGAGGTCTCTAAACCACTGAGCTACAGGACACTTAAAAACTTTAAAGCACACCAAAGGTAAACAAGAGGGATTGACACTATTAATTCTGTGGAGTTCCGTATCACTGTCACTGGTTGCTGTGGGAGATACGGGTTCAAATAGCGGAGGCTTTGGCCATTATATTTCAATCTTCATTGGACACAGGAATGGTGCCAAGAGACTGGAGAGTGGCTAATGTTACCCCCCTCTACAAAAAGGGGCAGAAAGACAAAGCCGGAAATTACAGACCAGTCAGCCTAACTTCAGTAATAGGAAAACTACTGGAGACCATAATCCGGGACAGAATAAATCTCTACTTAGAGGAACATGAGGTAATTAGAGACAGCCAACATGGATTTGTTAAAGGCAAATCTTGCCTAACAAATCTAATAGAATTTTTTGAAGAGGTGACTGCGAGGGTTGATGAGGGAAATGCGGTGGACATTATTTACATGGATTTCAAAAAGGCTTTTGACACAGTACCGCATAAGAGATTAATAAAAAAATTAGAGGCCCACGGTATTAAGGGGACAGTGGCAGTTTGGATTAAGAACTGGCTGAGTGACAGAAAGCAGAGGGTGGTGGTTAATGGGTGTTTCTCGAAATGGAAGGAGGTGTGCAGCGGTGTCCCCCAGGGATTGGTATTGGGACCACTGCTCTTTCTAATATATATTAATGATCTGGACTTGGGCATAGGGAGCACTATTTCCACGTTTGCAGATGATACAAAGTTAGGTCGGGTAGTAAATAGTGAGGAGGACTGTAACCAACTGCAGGCAGACATACACAGAATGGTGGAATGGGCTGACATGTGGCAGATGGATTTCAATGTGGATAAGTGTGAGGTGATACACTTAGGTAGGAAAAATGATAGCAGGCAATATAGACTTGGTAGCTCAATCTTAAGGGAGGTAAACGTACAGAGAGATCTGGGGGTTCAATTAAGTGAATCATTAAAGGTAGCGGGGCAGGTAGTAGCTAAAGCAGTAAAAAAGGCATTTGGTGTACTGAGCTTCATTAGTAGGGGCATAGAGTATAAGAGTAGAGAGGTTATGGTTAATCTATACAAAACACTGGTTAGGCCTCAGCTGGAGTACTGCGTCCAGTTGTGGGCACCTTACCTCAGGAAGGACATTAAGGCACTGGAAAGGGTGCAGAGGAGATTCACGAGAATGATACCAGGAATGGGGAACCTTAGCTATGAGGACAGGCTGGAGAAGTTAGGACTTTTCCCATTAGAGCAGAGAAGATTACGCGGGGACCTGATAGAGGTCTTCAAGATCATGAAAGGTTTTGACAGGAAAAGCTGTTTCCGCTGGTAGGTGTGTCTGTGATTCGTGGTCACAGTCCTAAGATATCTACCAAAAGAAGCAGAGGGGAGGTTAGAAGAATTTTTTTCACTCAGCGAGTTGTTGGAATTTGGAATGATCTGCCTGAAAGGGGAGTGAAGTCCGATTCGATAACAGCTTTTAAGAGAGAACTGGATAGGTATCTGGGGAAGACGGGTTTGCAGGGTTATGGGGAGAAAGCTGGTGAGTGGGGTTAGTGAAAGTGACTTGCTCTGTCAAAGAGCCGGCACAGACTCGATGGGCCGAATGGCCTCCTTTTGTGCCGTAACATTCTATGAATCACTACATTGTTTCCACCTGAAGATATTGTGCAAGACTGGGAGCTTACTGTGTGAGGAAACATTGCAGAATAGCTATGTGTGATATTGTGATCCAGCCTTAAATTTCTGGTGGGTGTCAACAGGCTAACAGTCCTCCAGATTCAAACTGTCTCTCCCACTACCTTCCACAAGCTACCTACTCAGCCATGGGTGGGAGATGAAGAAGATGCTCATATACAGGGATTTCTAACCCTGTTTTTAAAAGAGACAATTAGGATGGGACTTCTCCATTTAAGAACAGGATCTTGAGCAATCTATTCCGCAAAGATATAGCAGCCTTCTGGTGATGAAATGTCACACCTATGTCACAAGGAATGACTTGTTTTTGCGGTAAAACAGACCATTAACACAATAGAATGAATGGTTAAGATACGTGTCTCGGATTCTAATTTGAACCATCACTATTCATGTTGTGTACATGAGATGGAATGTTTTAAAAAACAAAATCAATATGCACGTTCTCGATTGCAGTTTGTGACTTAAAAAAAAACGCTTCCTACCATCTGTCTCTGAGCTTCCTCAGGGCTGAGGTAATGTTCCCAAAGGAAGGTTAGAGCTCGACCTTGCCCTCATAGTTCTGAGTATTTGACTGTGCTGCTCCTGTCTGTGACATTTCCAGAGATTATTTTGTATGGATGGTTAATCCGTCATATTACAAAACAAACACACGCATATAAAAGAATGGGACTTGTAAACCCTTCAGAAGGATTGTCTTCACAACTCTCTCTTCCCCTTCTCACACACATTCATGCGTACATACACACATACAGGCGCGCACACACACACATACGCGCACACACACACGCATTTACAAAATCTACCCAAGCAACAGTCAGAGCATATGGATCATATGTTGTCTGATATCTAGCTTATACCCAGCTGAAACTCAAGATAAACAGTGACGTGCAAAGTCACACGCCTTCTTAATCATAAATACCTGTTTAATCTGCTCAGCTCTTGAAAGCAGAGTAAAGAACACATTTTGTGTAAAGAGAGATATGCAACACCACCCCACCCACCAAAAAAACCATCAAAACTATACATATAATCCCTATATTTCTTTTTCCTGCAGGGTAACCTTGTACAATAACAAATTGCATTTATATAGCAACTTTCATGTCGGGTTGCTGTCCTAAGGCGCTGGGCAGTCAAGTATTTGCACCCGAGCTAGGAGTTGGAATCAGGAGAGTTAGGGGCCAAGGGAGATGGGGTAAGTGGGAGGATGACTGAAAGTACAGCCAAAGAGGAAGGTCTTAAGGTGAGCATTGAAGAAGGCAAGGGAGTGGGCAAGGTGAAGGCATTCCAGAAGGGCAAGAAAGCTGAATAGTGGCTGATGACGGGGCCCACCAAGTGGAGGGAGCAGGAAGGTGGTAAGGTTGTGTTTGTTCACATAGCCTTGAGCTCAACTGAAGATTAATTCCCAATGTGGGATTTGAACCTACAGCCTTCCAAACCTGAAGCAAGAGTGCCACCAACTGAAACTTGGCTTCCCAAAGTGCATTTGTACATAAGTATCTGACTTACATTCAATTGCTAGTCACGTACCTGTTGACTGCAGGTGAAGTGGCAAAAGATTAGGCCAGGGTGGGTCATCAAACTGGATCCACCCACTGGGAGTTACTGCTGCTAACTGAGGAGAGCACAGTGGGCTACATGGACCTCTGAGCAAAGGACTGCTGGGAACAGATGCCGGTTGCAGAACCGTCGTCTCCAGAAAGTGACCATCTTCAAACGATTCATCAGAGACTTGGGAATAGTATTTACGACCTTTAAATGCAATTCATAAAATATTAGTTTATCACAGACATGGAGAAGCTTTTCTAACCCTAGGAACCAACAATTACTCACATTCTATGAACACTACAGTACTGTATATCCTGTGAAGCGCTTTGAGATGTCTCAATGATGTGATAAGGCACTATATTAAATGCAAGGATAATTAATATTATATTATATGAATGGCATTTCTCAGTCACTCTGCTCTTAACTCAGATATAAAAACATACCCTCAACCAAACAAAAAATTGGTTCGGAAGTAATTAAAGGCAGTTCAGTACTTTAGGACTTGTCAATACAAACAGGCCACTGGGTTGCTGTATTGTGGTTTTAGCTGGTTAGACTCCAGCAGTTACCCCAACGCACACTCTGGGGTCCCCAAGCCTTGGCTTTTGCCAACCGGTGCCTAATACATTCGGGAATTAGGTAAGCAGGATGTGTCTCTCCAGGGAAAGAGAGAACACACTGCATTCTAACAATCTATCTCTGGGATTTCCGTGTAGGTGGGATGCACGGAATTCTCAGCTTGGTTTAGAGACTCTTAAGCACGGATATACGCATGTATCAGACACCCGGTAAATCGGGAAAAATCCGTCCGTGCAGAAAAATTCACCTGTAACTTCTGCATATGGTGTGCACTGTGGCTCCTCACTGAAGGAAACCCACTCTGATCTGTTGGTGGCGATCACGTTAGCAGATAGCATCATTACACCAAAAGTGCACAACTTTGTCAACGTGATGTTGTGGTGATAATTAGAGGAAGATGGGCTGGCTGCCGATTACATCATACACTGGCGGAATGATCAATCATTGACTCCTCCTTGGGTTTGGCACACAGTCATTGTGCAAATCCATGAGAGTACCTTTTAAATGAAAATAAACAGCATTTAATTATAAGTCTTAAAAGAAAAAGTACCTGCTCTCACTAGACTACCAACAACTTACATTTGTGTAGCTCCGTTCACACAGGATAATGGCTCAACAACAACAACAAGATTCCATTTATAAAGCGCCTTTCACGTCAGGAGGACGTCCCAAGGCGCTGTACAGTTGGGTCATGACCCGAGCAGGGGGGAAATGGTCAGGGTGAGGGAAGGGAGGGAGCAAGGAGGGGGGAAATGGTCAGGGTGAGGGGAGGGAAGGGAGGGAGCAAGGAGGGGGGGAAATGGTCAGGGTGAGGGGAGGGAAGGGAGGGAGCAAGGAGGGGGAAGAGAGTCGAGAGGGGAGCTGAAGGCACGGTCAAAGAGAAGAGGCTCAAGAGGTTGACTGGAGTATGTGGTGAGGAAAGTGGGAATAATGTATTGTCGTAAGGAGGCAGCAGAAGGCACAGTCAAAGATTTTCAGGTGAATGGGTTTTGGGAGGAAGTCGCAGAGAGTGGGGGAAAAAGTAACTAAAAGCTCGGTCACTGATTGTGGAGGCGAGAGACGAGCCGCGAACTGCAGTTTGTGGAGCGGCGGGAATTAGCAGGAAAGTAGGGCTGGAGGAGATTGCAGAGCTGGGATGGGGTAAGGACGGGAAGAGATTTAAAGACTAAAATGAGGATCTTGGAAATCAATCCAATGAGCCATTATTTATCATAAATTGGCTTGAAGTCAAACGTTGTGGAGAGTTTACCTTCCCCTCTGTTTCTTTTCTACGTCTACACAGTGTAACCTCGCTGACAACACATCCTTGATTCAAGTGAACCACCAACCAATCATGTTACAAAAGAAAATATCTGCACGCTAACCAAGGTCTCTCCCACGTCTCACAAGCTGGAAGCTTAAAGAGCTTCCCGCAAGAGAAAACCAGGAACATGTTGTATGGGTTGTTAACTTTGAAATCACAAAAGTTCTGCTCCAGTGACTTCATGAATGGGGAGGACTGATCACAAGCACTATTTACATTCACACTGACACTTGAGTATACTTTATCTTGTCACTGCAGGGAAAGCTTCCCACGCACAACTCCTGTGCCCAGACTGTCTCTGCGTAACAGATTTGGAAGATTAAAATAGATGGAGCGATGTCTGTAAGTGCTACACAACACATCAGATGTGTAACAGTTCTGGTGAATACATTTTCCCCCACAGTGCTAAATGGTGGTTGGCCATTTTACCCTGAATAATGAATGCTGTGCTAAGTACGCAATGTAATAGCATCTGAGTTGGGGGATCTTGCAGAATTAAAACATAACAAAACAGACTGGAAAAAAAGAGTGAAAAGGCCAGAGATAGGCTTTTAACTGACCAGTGACACCGCTAAGTCAGCCACACAGTGAAAAAAGTCTCAAAATACTGCTAAAAAATTTCAAAGTCACAGTTGTAGAAAATACGCCATTATTTCCCTGTTTTTAACATTGCATTGAAACTATTCAAGTTACAGATTATAGCAAAATTGCTGAACTCTCATCAACGATTTTGGACCTTTATAAGGTGACTATCTTAAACTCAGTTGTGCAGGAATTATGATTGTGAATGGAATGTGAACGTCATTTATCAATGGCTCAAATAACCAGAGCTGCGGCCTGCACGTCAGTCAGTCTATCACTCTTTCTAATGGCTTTGAGGCAGTCACATCTGGGCCATCTCTTTGTCAGAAGTTTCTCTTGAGGAAACTGGAGGAGATTGCAGAGGAAGGGTGGGGTAACTGATTTGAAGGTCAGTACAGGGTAACCAAATACATTTTGTCACTATTAACATTTTATTACTACTGTTATATTGAGCAGCACGACAATTTAACAAGTAGTCAACAATTAATGGTTTAATTTTCTCAAATGAATTTACCAGACAAATGTTGTTGGCATCAGTCTATAGCTGATGTTCTGACTCTTAAGACCCAGCTTCCAATGTACCATGCATACCTTTCACATCTTTGTGCTAAAATGCGAGTCGCATTACATACAGGGCCCTTAAGATATAGGGCAAGTTGGAAATATATAGGCTGTTTCGTTATTAAATGTATATAATAATTCTTGCATTTGATATAGCGCCTTATTATGTCTTCAAGATGTCTCAAAGCGCTTCACGGATTGTACTATAAAGTAAATTGATTGTATATTTTATGGGCGAAACGCGGCAGCCAATTGCACACAGTAGTGTCCCACAAACAGTCGTGGATTGAGTGACAAAATTATCATTTATTTTTAAGGGATTATTACACCAGGAAAACAATCCGCCAATCGAATAACAACCGGGTTCCTACTTACTGCTAGGTAAATAGCCGAGTATTCCCACATATAATATACACTCACCAAATCTTCATCTACTGTAGCAAACTGGAAAAAAATTACAAGCTAATGAGTATTAAATCTGTTCCCAAGATAAACTACCTTAAAATCAATTTCAGAGTTTAGATGTAAAAACAGTAAAATTTAGTCTATTACTCAAATAATCTTGCAGTCATCAAAATGTTTACAGTAAAGCATTCAAAAAGGCAGTAAAGATAGCTGTAGCTTTTCACAAACGGAATGTATGCTTTTGGCATTTCGCCCACAAAACATACAGTAATTTTACAGTATATTCTGTGAAGCGCTTTGAGACTTCTAGAAGATGTGAAAAGACGTTATATCAAATGCAAGGATTATTATTATTAAATATATTAGCGCTAAACTCCCACACATCCCCTGGTTATAACCATGGTGTTCTGCTGCATAAACAAAACATTTGACATTTCTTCTCCTAAATGAAAAGCATCCGTATGATTTATTGGAAGAAGTTAATTATAGTAAAATTATGGAAACTAACACGGTTTCCCAGCTCCCAAAGTTTCCAGATATCAAATGCATCCAATTTTGATAATATTTTCCAATTAGGATGTTGTTTAATAATTATCAACATCTTCACTGGCATTAAAATTACAATATTTTTCTTGGCCTATTACCCAGAATGAAAATGGCTAATATTCATTTGATGGAGTATACTGTAAATTGAACTGACTGTATATTTTGAGGGTAAAACACGGCAGCTGATTGCGAACAGCAGTGTCCCAAAAACAGTTGTGGATTGAAGTGACCAATTTTTTTGTTACCCTGGAAAAGCCAATCAACTAACAACCGGGTTTCTACTACTGCTAGGTAAACAGGCGTGTGGAGTAAGGAAACTTGCCCAACATTATGCCCTGCCCAGGAATCAAACCCAGGTCTCTCGCTTGCGAGGCGAGTGCCCTAACCACTGAGACTCCACTTTTAAATGTCAGCTTGGATCAGTTTGGTAGCACCTTTGCCTCTCGGTCAAAAGGATGTGCGTTCAAGCCAGATGGCAGGATTTGAGTTCATAGTCCAGGCTGGCAGTCCTGTCGAGTACCAAGGCAGAGCGGCGGATATTTGAAAGTAAATAAGACAACAACATCAATAACCTTCATTTATATAGTGTCCCTCACGCAGCGGAGCTTCCCAGAGCGCTTAGGCATCAAAAAAATAACGTGATATCCGTCTATTCAAATGGACTTTAAAGACAACATAACACTATTTGAAACGAGAAAGGAATTTCTCTTAGTTTCCTGACAAATAATCCTCCAGATAAAATTGATGGTTGTTTGAGGAAAATTGCTGCGTGCGTGTATGTGACTGCTGCATTTTCCTACACTTGATGCCAATTCCCTGTGATGTGCTTTGAGATGCCTCAAATGTTATAGGCGCTGTATTAAATCTAAGGATTATTATAATTTTATTAATTCTGCTCCACATTGGTACCGGAGTGTGGAACAGCATTGGCAATTAAGAGGTTGATGAATCCATGAAATTCTTTTCTCAAATCAATTTAAGATGATTTAAATTAGAGAGCTCTTTTTCTACCTCATTTCATCAGGCCAAGCACAAAGTTCATCCAAGCTAAATGACTTTAAATGACTTCCCATAACTATAGCAGAAAATAATCATTTGTTTCACAATCAGAGAAAAAAAATTGTCATTGACTTTAAGACTGTTCAGTCTTAAACAATTTATGTGTAACGATGCATAACATTGTTAATGCATAAACTGGCTGCTGAATTTGCCAATAAAATACACAGTCACTGCACATTACAGAAAAACTGAATTCCATCCAGACATTTTGGCATGATAAGTAGCTGTATTAAATACAAGGATTATTATTATTGCTGCTAAAGTATCCTTGGTTGTTAAAGATCACAGTTTCCAGCTCATCGTCTAGATTGTGACCAATGTTGGTCCAGAAGTACGTGTACAGTACAGCAGCCAATTCAGTACAAAGAAAGATGATGACCTGCCATGTGAGCCCACAAAAGGGTTTGTAAGGGAAGCAATATAACCTTTTTCTAGGCGAAACATTCTAAATGTTTGAACTCTCTCTCTGGAATCAATCCAAAAATAGTTTCCATTTCGCCATAACTATTTAACTGGCAGAGGCCTCAATGATCCACAAATTCAGTGCACAGCCCCAGGGACCTCAATGTAAATGCAGGCGGACACAAAGGTCTCCTCTGTCTGCAAGCATGAAGTAAGTTTGGGTTGTTATTTGAGGGAGTTTAGTGACCTCATATAGGTCTCTAAGCTGTCCTCATGCTTATCTCTATTTTTCTTAAACAGTCACCCCAGAACAAAGGAAGAGTGTATTTAAGTGAGTTACTATGTCCACAAAAACTAGTGGCTAATCTGCTAAGCTGAAATGGAACAACCACTCAAGTTTATCTTTCACCTGCTCAAAGTTTCAGATATCGGGGAAAAGGCTGGCAAAACCTGAAGGCAGATCAGTACAATGCCAGACAGTTATTTGAAGGGAGAAGCAATCATTGTTTGCTGGATGTAATCGGTGACCTGCTTTGCCAGTGAGATTCTTCCAAGGCCATTTGTAGTCTAATTGAACATCAATATTTTCAACATCGTTGGTTACACTGGCACCATGCTGCTTTGCTTACATGAGCAGCTCTGCGGGAGAAACCACTTTCTATGAAGTTTCTCCCGCATCGACAGGACCTGCTGTGAATCAAAATCACAGCTGAGTGGTCGCATTTTCATGCTTTCTTTTGTTTAAAGACATCTGGTCTGCTCGGAACTGCAAGCAGATCGAGTCTTCTTATGTTTTCAAATAGCATCCTCTCTTGGGTAACGCAAATCATTTTATTGGTAAATAATCACCAAACTGAACCTATCAGTTCAACGATTATAAATTATAAATAGGATATAAATAACCTTCAGTAGCTGTGTCTTTGACAGTGCATGGGTCACCTCACCCATCTCCCGAGCTCAGTGTCCAACCCGGCCATTGTGCAGCGTTTTGAGACACTATCTGACAGGAAGGCGCTATACAAATGCGAGTTGTTGTATGTCATTAAGTGGCCAGCTCACTTTAGTAATATGGGGATAAAACAATTGGATCAGAATCATGATGAGAAACAGATTTATTTAACATAGACAAATCAAATATTTAGATAAGAATATACAGGAGTGTTTGTGTGTCCGCTGGGACGAGATGATTTTCCTTCCTCAGTCAACTACTCAGAAGATAACTTGTTTTTAAATAAAGACAAACTATTGGAAGTCTTTTTTTTGGGGGTGGGGGGGGGGGGGGGTGAGGGCTGGGGGTGGAATTTCTGTATGACCTCTGACCAGATAAGAGAAAGAGAAACCTTTGAAATATTTTGAAAAGCTTCCAAAATCCAAAAACAATTAAAATCCAAACCTTCAAACTCCCAACAGTGACAGATTGTCCTTTTTACTATTTAGCCTCACATTAAAAACATCACAGTTTAAAGTAATCATCTTGTAATCTGACACAACACTTTTCACCTCAGGAGGACATCTCAAAGTGCTTCTCAGGCTTTACTGTAAGTGTGGTGACTATATTTTGTAGGCGAAAAGTGCAAGGTGCAGAATGAATGAATTTGTCAAATTGATTTTTATGCTGAAGGAAGATTCCAGCTTTTAAATAAAAGAACCCCCCCCCGAGCCCTCTGTGTCCAGGATGGCACTTTCTCCATTGTCAGCTCCTACGTTCAGGAAGCAGATGATACAGATGACCTGCTTACTCACCAACACGCTACCCGCTGCCTCTTCTCGACTGGCTCCGTCACCCTGTATGTCTCTCGTACCCTCTGTTTCACCATCGGTGGGTGCGCTTTCAGCCACTACACCGCAAAACTCTGGAACCCTCTTCCTTTATCGCTGGTCCAGGCAGACAGGAACTCGCAGAGAACATCAAATCTTAAAAGAAGGATGTGCGTAAAAATATATTTTTAAATTCACATGAGCTGCAAGTGGGCAAACATATCTGCATAGCACATCCATTGTTTTTATCTTCAAGAGAAACATTTGCAACAGCGGTAAAAGAGGAAACAGAAGTTGGTTACCCTCTGCTCCTGTTTGTTGAACAGTGGGTGGAATTTCCCGCAGGAACAATTAATTAGTCACGAGAATGCCAGGAACAGAAATATTTACTCCTCAGCAAGTATTCAATTTAAGTGNAAAAACTCCATTCTGAGCACCAACATAAACAAAGAGAAATAATAACAACAATAATAATAATAATCCTTGCATTTGATACAGGGCTTTATCATGTCTTCCAGACATCTCAAAGTGCTTCACAGGATATTCTGTAAAGTGAATTGACTGTATATTTTGTGGGTTAAAAAAAAATATGAATAGAAATCTGATAATCAGAAAATCCACGACTATTTGTGCTGTGCGCTATTGGCTGCCGAGTTTCGCCCACAAAATAAATAGTCAATTCACTTTACGGTGCATCCTGTGAAGCGCTTTGAGATGTCTTGGACGTGGCAAGGATTATTATTATATCACCACAATTTGCGTTTAGCAGCTTGCCTTAACTAGATAAAGCAAAAATGTAATGGACTGCAATTTTCAATTACACCCATTAACATGGTTATGAATTTAATCATTTCATAAAGGGAGGCCAGTCAGATTCAACATTTGTTCATTACCATTACAAGGGCTATTTTATTAAGATAACATGCATCATTGGGCTCAGCAATAAAAAAAGCTGATATCTATTAGGAAGATAATAGTTACTTACAGAAATTACATTAGTTCAGCCTAATTCATTATCCGTTACAGAGCAGCAGAATAAAAATATCAGCCATTCAATCCTGCTGTTAACTTCTCATCTTGTCTCTTCTTTATTGGAGTTAACCAAAGCATTTGACTGAATTTAAACAAGACTCAGTCAACACTGGATTTTTGCAGTCATCATGTCTATGTACTAGGAAAACAGTGGCTGACTGATGCAATCACAGAAATGTAAAATATACAGTCAATTCACTTTACAGTATATTCTGTGAAGTGCTTTGAGACATTTCGAAGATGTGATAAGCTGCTATATCAAATGCAAGAATTATTATTCTAATTAATAAATGCTTTCCAAATAATTTGCCAAAATGACCAATATAATCCTAGAATAATGCTGAAATGAAAATGATGGAATTCACAATAACTGAGTATTCCTTGCACTTGATGTAGTGATTCACTTTACAGTATATTCTGTGAAGCGCTTTGAGACATGGCAACGACTTGATGTGGCGCTGTATCAAATGCAAGGATCATTATTAATAACATTAAAACTCCACCGGGTTTTCACAGGTAATTGAATATAATAAAAAGTGATTATAGTTATAATCAAACGCAGCAACAAATTTGCCCATGGCAAAGTCACACAGTTAGTTGGTCAGTGACCAATTTCTCTGGAGAATTTGTTAGCAAAATGGAATCGCGGTTTAACGTCTCACCCGATAATGCAATGCTCCTCCAGTCCTGTGCATCAGCCTATACAGCACTACGAGCTGAAGTCCTGACGTACCATTTGAATCCACAACCTCTGACCCAGAGGCTGCCAATTAAACATGCCTAACTAACTGTATTTTGAGCTTCCAGGCTACTGAACGTGGAGAAGGCTAAATGAATGTCAATTTAAGCTCTATTCACTTAACAATTGTTTACACCAGTATAAAAGTCAGCATTTTGTTTTACCCAACATAAACCCTCTGTAAAGCTTTCTGGCCACAAAAGCATTCACACAGTTATTTTCGTCTGATAGGTTTTGTCCACCACTATTTGCGCAGTTGTTTGTTAGTCTGAGTGCAGTCTTTTTACCTCAGATAATAGTCAATAAAACAGTTGCTATCAATCCATCATCTTTCAACAATTTAGATAAAAATCTACAAGCAGCAACTATGCAGAAAGTGGCTGTTTTCAGTGTAATTGTTGCTCCATTCTGTCAGAGGCAATGAATCATAAGATTATGGCATAAATCTTAAGACATTCAAATAATAATTTATCATAGTGCCTCATCACGGCAATAAAACCCCCCCAGAGAGCTTTGCAGGATGTTACTGAAAACTGCAGTGACTATTTGAAGGCGAATGCGGCACATGCAGGTTTCTCGTGCTTAAGTCTCCAAATTAAACAGAATTCTGCACATGGTTTGGAAGGAAATGTACACTCTCTGTGTGTGTAGGGATGCATCCTACTTGCCTAATCCCAGGGAGCACGAGGTGCAGATTGGCAAGAGCCGATACGAGTTCCCGAGTGTGCGCGGTTCGGGTATCTGCTGAAGTCTAACCGGCTAAAACCACATGGGTTGCCATTGAAAGCCCTGCGTGGACAAGCTTCCTGCCAGGACAACCCTAACCGGTTAGGCTTGCAGGGTTAGCAGGAGCTGAGCGGGAAGAATCCCTGCTCCCGAGCGACTGGTCTGGCACTCCCAGTCTGATCGATGGGCCGGGACGGCTGGTCTGTCATCAGCAGAGCGGTGCCCTGGAGTACTGCGGACCCACACGGCTCAGGAACTGGACTAGAGACAGAGACAGAGAGAGAGAGAGAGAGCTTCCCGCATTGCAGTGCATTACCGAGCGCCTCACCTCAGAGGTCAGCTCAGCTCCCAGGGGACCCCCCCCCCCCCCGACCCACCCCACCCCGAGAGGACAGTCACAAGTCGATGCTCATCTATGCTCTTTTCAAAGAGTCCGCACGATACCCGATGGGCCGAATGGCCTCTTTTTGTGTTGTACGATTCTTATTCAAAATAGATTTAAAAGCAAAAAAAAGTAATTGAAAACCATCGTCGTCAAACGAAAAATGTTTCATAAGATTCTGATATTGTTCTGAAGACGATTGTGAAGATATGATATGTTGCCGTCAGAGGAGCTGAGAGCGGTGGGAGGACCCGGAGTACTGCCCTCCCCCGGACAGGCAGCAGCGACTTGTTAAACACACAAACAAATCAACACAGAAATACGGCCTGAAATTCCCTGTCCCCCCCCCCCTGCCCTGCCCCCTGCCCTGCCCTGCCCTACCACCCCCTGCCCTGCCCTACCACCCCCTGCCCTGCCCTACCACCCCCTGCCCTGCCCCCCCTGCCCTGCCCTGCCCCTCCCTGCCCTGCCACCCCCTGCCCTGCCCTGCCACCCCCTGCCCTGCCCCCCTACCCTGCCACCCCCTGCTCTGCCCCCCCCTGCTCTGCCCCCCCTGCCCTGCCACCCCCTGCCCTGCCACCCCCTGCTCTGCCCCCCCTGCCCTGCCCTGCCACCCCCTGCTCTGCCCTGCCACCCCCTGCCCTGCCCTGCCCCCCCACCCCCTGCCCTGCCCTGCCACCCCCTGCCCTGCCCCCTGCCCTGCCCCCCCACCCCCTGCCCTGCCCTGCCACCCCCTGCCCACCCCTGCCCTGCCACCCCCTGCCCTGCCCTGCCACCCCTGCCCTGCCCTGCCCCCCCCTGCCCTGCCCTGCCACCCCCTGCCCTGCCCTGCCCCCCCCTGCCACCCCCTGCCCTGCCACCCCCTGTCCTGCCCCCCCTGCCCTGCCACCCCCTGCCCTGCCACCCCCTGCCACTGCCACCCCCTGCCACCCCCTGCCATCCCCTGCCACCCCCTGCCCTGCCGTTCCTTGCCCTCCCCGGCAGTGTTACCTGGTGTGGATGGTGCCGCTCTCTCTCTCGGGCTGAGGGACGCTCTGAACGCGCGGCACCGACGGTTGCCATGACTCCGCCACAGCCCCGCCCCCACCCGCGCGCATTAGCCACAGCCCCGCCCCCTCGCCACAGCCCCGCCCCCACCCGCATTAGCCACAGCCCCGCCCCCTCGCCACAGCCCCGCCCCCACCCGCGCGCATTAGCCACAGCCCCGCCCCTCGCCACAGCCCCGCCCCCAACCCTCACCTCAAGGCTCTGTCCTCCTCTTCAACATCTATGTGCTCCGCAGACATGGGGTCAACTCCCACATGTATAACACCCAACTCTCCCTCTCTGCCTCCGCCCTCGACTCCAGGACCACCGCTGTCCTGACACAATGTCTTTCTATGGTTGAACGTCAACAAGACCGAGGCCCCCCCCCCCCCCTCCTCACCTCAGGCGCTGACAGCATCACCATCCACGGCTGCGCACTCCACCTCACTGAGCCAGTCCAGAACCTCGGCGTCATGTTTGACCCTCAACTCTCCTTTCTAAACAGGATCCCTGCCACGACCCGCTCTGCCTTCCCCCACCTCCGCAACATCGTCCAGTTCCGCCACTGCAGGCCCCCAAAACCCTCACACACGCATTCATAACATCCAGGCTCGACGATGCAATTCCTCCATCAATAGCTGTAGATCATCCAGAACTCTGCAGCCCGGGTTCTCTGCCCCACCTGGTTCCGTGACCCTATCTCCCCCACCCTCTCCCGGCTCCACTGGCTTCCCATCATACAGAGGATACGGTTCACGATCCTGGTCCTCACCTTCAAAGCTCTCCATGGCCTGGCTCCCCCCTACCTCTACAACCTTCTAACTACCTACTGACGCACAGCGGACTCCAGCCTGCTTCATGTCCCCTGCCTCGCCCGCCCCACCATTGGGCCTTCAGCCACTCTGCACCACCCTCTGGAACTCCATCCCGCAATCAGTCTGCCTCGCCCCCTCTCTTGCCTCCTTCAAGACCCGTCTCAAGACCCTCCTCTTCGTCCATGCCTTCGATCACCCTCCTTCCATCCCCTGCCCTCCACCCTCCCCGATCTCGACCCCTAGCTCAGGTCCTAAACAATAATTGTCCAGCACCCTGGGACATCTTCTCGACGTGAACGGCGCTATACACATGTAATGTTGTTGTTATTGTTGCCTAAGGTTTCGCCTCACCTGGGAACCAAACCTGGGTCCTCTCTCTTATGAGGCGAGTGCACT